GCTCACAGCTGGGGTTTGGGGAGTGCCACCCTAATTTTTTTTTTTTGTGATTTTTTTTGTTTTGATTTTTATTATTGTACATCTTCTTCCAACGAGATGCAGAGAAGGGGTCAGCTCGGGCAGATATCCACGTTACCCGGGTAAGGCATCTGTTTGAGATGCCAAGCTTTTTTGGCACCTATGTATTTCAAAATAAAAAGAGATTTTGGGTTAAACTTTATAATTCGTATTTAATCTCGGTGGCTTAGCGGAAGCCGATTGCTTGCTATTGCCAGATGAACCTTATGCGAGATCGATATGCAACCAATGCGCAGAGGGGTTAGCATAGAACTAAAACTATAGACGACGGCGTTAGATCAAAGTGACTGCCGAAGTGGCGGCAGCAGATCAAAGTAGTTGCCGAAGTGGCGGCGGCAGAGAGCCCCTTTAGCGGGAGAGCGCAGCAGCTCTGCAGAAAGTCAATGCTTTACAACATATGTAGGCGGCTCTCTATGCTCATACAATAATAATAATTTTAAAGTTACGGTTATTCTTCAGCGGCTGGCCCGAACAGCATCATTAGAACAGGTGGCTGCCAAGTCCCTGAGCCCTCCGTTAGCGACTGGGCTAGTTTTTATACCGGGCGGCCCCCAGACAGGCTGTCTCTCTTCACGGGTCGAGTAACACAGCACCACTTAGTGTGGGGGTTAGGGTGTGGGTAGGTAGTGTGTAGGGATGGGCGTGTGTGAGCTACTTATTGAGGCGGCACCACAAGCTCATCGTCAGTGTTGCTTCTTTGCGAACGCCCGCTGGCTGTCCGGGACTGCCGTAAGGGATGCCCGCTTATTCGCAGCTGACATACCGAGGTAGGCCGTTCGCTATCCGCAAATCGCGACCCATCCGGTTGCCTCAGCTAAGCCCCCTTTGAGCCACCTCACGAGCTCATCAGGCCAGATACTTGGGGCTTTAAAATTGTTTAATAATTTTTGTTCAAGGATTATATTATTTTAAAAAACTTGTTGAAATCTGTTATCTGTTATCTGTTAAGTATCTGGCGCCTGATTGAATTCGCCTTTGGAATTCATAAAAGCTGATTGATTTAGCTATAAATCCTATCCAAACTATCCGGAAAATTCAATTCAAATTTTGACTTTAAAAACTCGGGAAAAGCCGAAATAAATTCATTCCGAGTGTTTTGTATTTGTTGTTTATGTATGTAAATAAATTAATCTTCGTTTGTTGAAATTAAGGGATAAACGGTTAAGGTACAGCAAACAAAAAACAAAAACAAATTAATAAACAATTTCAAAGAACCAAATCTATCCGAAAAATTCGGTTTGGTTCACAGCGTCGCAAAAAAGTTAAATTTTGTTGAGTATTGTAAGCGGCGAGGTTCTACTCCGAACACCTTTTTTTAAATAAATTGACTGCTTTCGTGTATTCTGTGCCGTTTCGCATTTTACTAGATTAAGCCAAAGTGTACCTATATTTTGCGTACGTTCGCGACCACATGTTTATTAAAAATCTTTAATGAACTATGATTTGATAATTCAACGGTAAAATGTATGTTCAGTGGGTTCCGATCGGTATTTAACGTTAATACGCGGCACTAGGAGGTTTAGTTAAACGGCTCACCGTAGCCTAATAGCCGCTAGTATTCAGCGACACGACAAAGAGTGCGTACGAGAGAGACAGAAAATCACTCTGAGCGTGACGTCGGGCGCTGCGTAGCCACTGCAAATTGATTTGTTCCTTTTGTCTATACAAATTATCCGATCTGATCCAGATTTAGCAACCGGATAGATATGGTCATTCTCTATGATTGTGCGTTTTTAGTTTTCTCGAATCTGCAATCTGCAATCTTTGTGGGGGCGGAAGGGTGTGGGGAGAAATTTCGAGATATACGTTTTATAGTGAGATCTAACAAGAGTGCGGATACAAAATTTGGTTGCTCTAGCTTTAATAGTTTCTGAGATTTGTGGATGCCCCAGATTTTCGTCCTTTGCGGTGGCGGAAGGGGGTATGGCGAAATTTTGACACGAGACGGTCAAGTTCCGATATCACAGGAGTGTGGATACCAAATTTGGTTGCTCTAGCTCTTATAGGTTCTGAGATCCTTGAACTCACATTTTGCAATTGGCAAAACCGACCATGAAACCTGTGTGTTAGAGAGAGACAGAGCGAGAATGAATTGGTTTTCTTGATTCTGGTTATAATAATTATACGATCTGTTTCAGATTTTGCATTCTAAAAGTCTAAAAAAGTCATCCTCTACGATTCTGCGTTTTCTGTTTTCTCGTATCTTTGAAATTGTAGATGCCACAGATTTTCGACCTTTCTGGGGGCGGAAGTGAGCGGCGCTAATAGGGACGGACAGAGAGACGGGGCTCAATGGACTCGGCTATTGATGCTGATCAAGAATATATATACTTTATGGAGTCGGAAACTTCGGGACTTTACACACATCCACTTTCCCCACAAATCTAATATACCCCTATACTCTTTTTGAGTATCTGGTATAAATATAGGTATTAGATTGAATTCGAAAAAACCCCTTATTATCACTAGTTCTATTCGTTCCTCTTCGCTAAGACGATGTGAGTTCGTTTCGTGTGTGAGGGCACGCAGTGAACCAGTCGGTCTACTCTTACATACATAGTGACCGTTGGTATCCAATTCTAGAAAAACACAAAAGTGTCACGTTTAAAACAAAGTACACTGGTCTGTGATTTTTTCATTTCCGTGGTACTGTTTTTTTTTCTATTGCAAAAGTCGATTTTTTGTTTCATTGAATTCCTCATATATTTTAGTTTGTAAATATATTTGTTGTTAACTTACATATGGAATAATTATATATAACCTATAAGTGTATGTATACATATTCGACAATTTTACACCTTAACCAATTAACTTTAAAAATAATCCACTGTTTATTGCAAGTATGGTATAAAATTATAAAATTCCAGAAAGTACTGTATCGTGTTCAGTTGGATGTTCACATTGACGTCTGAGCCTGGCTTGATTCAACGGAGCACCTACAAAAATGTGTATTTTGTATTTAATAATTAAATTTAATATAACAATTTAAATTAAATAGAAAAATATCAAAAATATATCAATAGCACAGTGGGACAAAATTAACAATATTTGGTTATAGGCCCGTTTAAATACCACCGCGTTTTGAGGGTTTTCTGAACTTTCATAATTTTCCCTCGCCATCTATTTCAGCGACATCCGAAATAAAGACGATTTAAAAATATAGATTGTTTATTTATAAGCAAATTTTATATGATTTTTAATTTGTGTCCATACAGCGGGTATATATATAAAGCCAAAGTTAAAGATTTGTACCATTTTTAAAGTTCCTTAAATTTGATCATTTTTAAACAAATTTTGTTTGTGTTGTTCTTTTAAAACTTTATTTTCTTAGTGACTTTAGCTCTAAACTAAACTCTTAAACTTAAAATTTTCCAATAAATGAGAGAACTCGGGAAAAGTCAAAAAAAATGTATTTCTTGTGCTTTATTTTTCTTGTATTGTATATTAATTGGGCGTCGTTTGTAAAAATTTATGTGTAGTTTTTACATATTCTTGCATGTGTAAGTGACCAGCTGTGAATTGTAAGTGAATTGCTTGGGCAGTGTGAATTTGATATTCAAGTGAGGGGGTCACGCACCAGAAACGTTTTGCCTGTGAAATGACAAAAGAGGCAGAAGACGGTGCAGAAAATTACTCAATTTAAACATCATATATTTCAATATTGACTAATTCAGGTGATCTCTTTTCTCTAAACCATTTTAGTGTCAGACTTTTCTTTACACCAAGTAACCCTAATATTACTCAAATTAATCATCAGATATTCCAATATTAAATCGGTTGACTAATTCAATTGTTTTCTTTTCTCCAATCCGTTTTAGTTCAGACTTGCCTTTAGATCAAATAAACTTAACTCGTCTGCTAAGGTTTCATTCATGCTAGTGACCGCAGAACCTTCGTTCAGAAAGGCAGAACAAAACCATAGAGCTCTGCTCATGCGCCTTTTATATAGAAGCCGGTGAATACATTAGGTACAACCAATTGAAGCAAAGTTTGCTTTCCCTCACATGCTATCATTCATTTTTAAGCTCTAACTGGGCGACTGTACTGTACCCGGACTCATGCTGTAGGCGGCAGTGTTAGGAATTCTTCTGAGGAAGCCCAAGTTCTATGTGGTCCGACTATAAGACTGTGTTAGCTAGGATCAAATCAGTTCAAGTCAGTTCAGTCAAGTTCCGATATCACAGGAGTGTGGATACCAAATTTGGTTGCTCTAGCTCTTATAGGTTCTGAGATCCTTGAACTCACATTTTGCAATTGGCAAAACCGACCATGAAACCTGTGTGTTAGAGAGAGACAGAGCGAGAATGAATTGGTTTTCTTGATTCTGGTTATAATAATTATACGATCTGTTTCAGATTTTGCATTCTAAAAGTCTAAAAAAGTCATCCTCTACGATTCTGCGTTTTCTGTTTTCTCGTATCTTTGAAATTGTAGATGCCACAGATTTTCGACCTTTCTGGGGGCGGAAGTGAGCGGCGCTAATAGGGACGGACAGAGAGACGGGGCTCAATGGACTCGGCTATTGATGCTGATCAAGAATATATATACTTTATGGAGTCGGAAACTTCGGGACTTTACACACATCCACTTTCCCCACAAATCTAATATACCCCTATACTCTTTTTGAGTATCTGGTATAAATATAGGTATTAGATTGAATTCGAAAAAACCCCTTATTATCACTAGTTCTATTCGTTCCTCTTCGCTAAGACGATGTGAGTTCGTTTCGTGTGTGAGGGCACGCAGTGAACCAGTCGGTCTACTCTTACATACATAGTGACCGTTGGTATCCAATTCTAGAAAAACACAAAAGTGTCACGTTTAAAACAAAGTACACTGGTCTGTGATTTTTTCATTTCCGTGGTATTGTTTTTTTTTCTATTGCAAAAGTCGATTTTTTGTTTCATTGAATTCCTCATATATTTTAGTTTGTAAATATATTTGTTGTTAACTTACATATGGAATATTTATATATAACCTATAAGTGTATGTATACATATTCGACAATTTTACACCTTAACCAATTAACTTTAAAAATAATCCACTGTTTATTGCAAGTATGGTATAAAATTATAAAATTCCAGAAAGTACTGTATCGTGTTCAGTTGGATGTTCACATTGACGTCTGAGCCTGGCTTGATTCAACGGAGCACCTACAAAAATGTTTATTTTGTATTTAATAATTAAATTTAATATAACAATTTAAATTAAATAGAAAAATATCAAAAATATATCAATAGCACAGTGGGACAAAATTAACAATATTTGGTTATAGGCCCGTTTAAATACCACCGCGTTTTGAGGGTTTTCTGAACTTTCATAATTTTCCCTCGCCATCTATTTCAGCGACATCCGAAATAAAGACGATTTAAAAATATAGATTGTTTATTTATAAGCAAATTTTATATGATTCTTAATTTGTGTCCATACAGCGGGTATATATATAAAGCCAAAGTTAAAGATTTGTACCATTTTTAAAGTTCCTTAAATTTGATCATTTTTAAACAAATTTTGTTTGTGTTGTTCTTTTAAAACTTTATTTTCTTAGTGACTTTAGCTCTAAACTAAACTCTTAAACTTAAAATTTTCCAATAAATGAGAGAACTCGGGAAAAGTCAAAAAAAATGTATTTCTTGTGCTTTATTTTTCTTGTATTGTATATTAATTGGGCGTCGTTTGTAAAAATGTATGTGTAGTTTTTACATATTCTTGCATGTGTAAGTGACCAGCTGTGAATTGTAAGTGAATTGCTTGGGCAGTGTGAATTTGATATTCAAGTGAGGGGGTCACGCACCAGAAACGTTTTGCCTGTGAAATGACAAAAGAGGCAGAAGACGGTGCAGAAAATTACTCAATTTAAACATCATATATTTCAATATTGACTAATTCAGGTGATCTCTTTTCTCTAAACCATTTTAGTGTCAGACTTTTCTTTACACCAAGTAACCCTAATATTACTCAAATTAATCATCAGATATTCCAATATTAAATCGGTTGACTAATTCAATTGTTTTCTTTTTTCCAATCCGTTTTAGTTCAGACTTGCCTTTAGATCAAATAAACTTAACTCGTCTGCTAAGGTTTCATTCATGCTAGTGACCGCAGAACCTTCGTTCAGAAAGGCAGAACAAAACCATAGAGCTCTGCTCATGCGCCTTTTATATAGAAGCCGGTGAATACATTAGGTACAACCAATTGAAGCAAAGTTTGCTTTCCCTCACATGCTATCATTCATTTTTAAGCTCTAACTGGGCGACTGTACTGTACCCGGACTCATGCTGTAGGCGGCAGTGTTAGGAATTCTTCTGAGGAAGCCCAAGTTCTATGTGGTCCGACTATAAGACTGTGTTAGCTAGGATCAAATCAGTTCACAGAAAATTCAATCAAATGTAAGACACATAGTCGATGAGAAAATTGAAGCCAAAAGGCTGGAGGATTGGCATTGGGTGTCTATCAATGATAATCCTGGAAACTTTGGCACCAAACTCAGAGCTGGAACATGAGAATCCTCATTCAAGAGGACTAAAGCCATCTAAGAGGTGGATCTAGCAGCTGCAGATGGAGGAGTTACACAAGGTGTTTATTTATCAGCCAATGTGGTGTTCTGGTGTTCTCTCTGGCTTCATTTACGAGAAGTTGTCTACGATCATAGACAATAGTGGAATGATTCCCATGATGGGCGTATTAATATTGCATATGCAGTTGGAGAAGAAAATAGGCGTTCAAAATAAATGCCCCAGTAGAATTACGTCACAAAACTGCTTGTGCAACATTACCAGGAAATATAGACAAATCAAAAGCAAAATAAGATAATAGCAGAAATGCGAGGTCAGTATTACATACCGCACTGCCGACAGGAGAGTCGCCGCGTAACTTTGAATTTGAGGACTTGAAAAATACGAAGTGCTTGACATACTCTGTAAGTACGCCCATTATCGTATGTGGGAATCGACTTAATGGGTCGGTTGTAAGAGGCAGAAGTACCGAGAAACGCTTGATATGCTTATTTACATGCTTTGCAATAAGGGCAATTAACTTACAGATTGACAGTGTCCCGATACATGTATTCCGAACAGATAATGGTAATAATATGGTGGAAGCTGATGGGGTCCTATAATAACTGAAGGTCTAGATCCGAAAAGATCGAATGGCTGCTTAACTGCCCGTGCAGAAGGGTGTTGGAAACGATTGGTGCAAAACGTAAAAAGGGCCATCGGGCCTCATTGTTTAGAGAAAGATAAACTCTAGAGGAAGACATACTGTATAGCCTAATGTGCAACGATGAAAGCATAGTAAATTCCAGACCGCCAGACTTGTCTTTGGATCTACAGACCTACAAACGATCCCATAACCCCTAACGAAAGGACTGGCATATTGCTTAGCCGATGTCACTCAGTTTGGAGCAAGAAGCTCAATGAGTATCTACCGGACTTACGCAGACGGATGAAGTGGCATCAACCAGTGGCACCACTGGTACTTTTTTTCTTCCAGATCTTGGTAAATCTTGTGCACAGTTACAAACTTGATCTTCAATTTGAGGTATTGTTGAAACTAATAAGCGAATAGTGAAAAACAACATGCAAGCAACGCAGAATTTCTCAAGCTTTCTAACGGTGCATCGTTAGCATGATCAAAAGCTCGCACTGCAAGAAAATTATAAAAGTGTGCAGTTTCTTTTTTTAATATTCCTTATGACGAAATCGAAATCCAATTTAAAAGATTGTTTTGAAATCTTAATAAAGATAGTATATGAAATAGCTTCTGCTATGGTAGAGAGAATCTGAAGCCTTACTAAAATCCATCAAAATTAAGTCCATTTGCAAGCAGCTTTGAAAGTCTCGGTTGATTGAAGACGGAAACTTGAGAAGGTTAGTCCATATTAATTAATAAATGTCCACCACGAGCAGAATAAATCCTAAAAGCGGAGGTAAGGAGGGAACGCGTTTGACGTACGTTTTGATTTAATTTTTGGGATCGTTACGGAAATTATTATTACATCGGGAAAGATATTAATAATGACTATGAACGGTGAGGAATGGAGAACGAACAGAAGAATATTGAGCGAAGACAGATAGAGAGCCAGTTTTTAAATACTTTTTATAGAGCCAAGTTTTTTGTATTTTGAAGGTAGAAAAAATACTTTGACAGATAGGAAATTTTAGACCATACAGGTACAGTGAATTCAGGAACATATGTTTAAAGGTCTGACAATCGGAAAAAACTGAACAACTGACCAATCAACTGGCGAGAGATGTAAATGTGCATCATGTGCAATGTGATTGGTAAAATTTGATTTTCAAAAACACTTTATTCGACTTGATGCAGTTAAATTGGTATTGATAATATAATTATGATCTTCTCAGCGCAACGTAGAGAAGATACAAAAGCATTAATGGCAGAGAGGTAGTTTAAATAGACCTCATTCCATGGATGTTACTAAAAGGGAACGAACTGGACGAAAAATCTGTTTTTACTGCAATCAGAAAATGAAGGACAGTCCATTCTATATGTCAAGCGTTAAAATCAAAAGAGACACTATCAGCATGTATTTGGGTCAATTTACCATAAGACTGCGCATGTTCTGATATTGAATATAGAAAAGAAAATTTAGTTATTCTGGCTTAAATAGAGCTGCTAGCTATTGCATAAGCCGGTCGTATTTTTCTCGCTCCTTCTCTGACCTCTGTTGAAATATCATTCAACATTGTAGTCATTTTGTTTTGGTATATCATCTAATCTCTTTAATATTGATTATCAATTGTGTTGATCAAATACAAAATTGACTCATGAACACCTGTTAGCCTATTTTTGGAAAAATGTAAAATGAACGAATTTGTCTAACAGCAGCTATTAAACAGCAGAACTGAAGGCCCTAGTTGCTAGTGCTCGAATAGTTTTTTAAGTTAATATTTTATATTAGCTTTAAATTTAATAAATAAATAAATAAATACAATATTGCTATTGCTTAATTATTTCAAGCAATTTTTTATTGCTTTTATCCAATCTGTTTTTGATTATAGTTTCTTCGGTGTGCACAGTTCTCATGCATCAGCTTTTGCACCGCCTACACTCTCTCTTGAAAGCATAAAAGCGGGCTTGCTGCTCGCATTCTTGCTCTCACCCTCTTTGGATTGCCTATATTCTCCCTCTTTATGGACTATTCTTTTGTTGTCTCTGCATTAGTGAGTTTACTGCTCGTTCCATACACTTCGTTGGTTCGTCTGCTCTGAAATATTGCCGCTGCTGCTGATTGTCGGGCTCGCTCTGCTGTCTGCTCTCTCATTTCGCTTGCGCTCTCACTCTGTGCTTTTATTATTCGGCCATTATTAAAATGGCAGTGCAAAGAAATGCGAATTCGGTGGTGTAATTATTGGCGATTCATTCCTTAGCTGTTGGCTGTGTGACAATTTTGGCCACATAAAATGTGCTTGTGGTGGAAATTTTAGCCGGCTAAACGATCTGATCTCGAAACGTATGGGTATGTCTTGGTCATGTTTGGCTTGCCGGGAGATGGAGAACAAAATTCGCACTTTCATGAGACAGACTCGAGCTGGATTTCTGGATGTCCGAAAATAATTCGTGGCTCCCAACGAGAAATTTCTAGCCCAAGAATTGCAGTTTTTTGTGCTCAATCTCTTGAGCGAATCGCTTAGACGGAAAATTCCGCCTAATGATACCAATCCCTTGCAACCTTATCTGAATGGTACGCCTGCTTCCCACCTCCAGCCATCGCAACCATTTTTTACTCCGTGTGGTTATGCCTCGCCGTTAGCAGTAAATCCGCCGAGTACATGTACCGAGTACCGAGTAATGTACATGCTTCGAGTATCCAAGTTCCCATCAGCATCAATCCCATCCCTGCAGTTTCTGCTGCCGTCACTTCTGACGTGGTGAGTGCTCCTAGTGCGGGTGTGTTGGTTGCTGGGGATGTCCTGCCAATTCCTGCTCCACCCGTTGCTGCCAATGCTCCAGCCCCAGGGCCAAGATCTCTTTTAGGAGTGGCTCCACTATCACATTCTCGCTCTTCAACTTAGAGCACTGTCCCTCGGAAAGCAATATTTGTTTCACGTCTTATTCCTGAGGCTACAACGGAGGATGTTAAGCAACATCTTTCCTCTAAATTTAACGCTTCACCTGATAATATAGTTGTGAC